ACAGGAAGAACCTAGGGTTCCACCATGCTTCTGGAGGTAAGTCTCCCAGTGACCTGAGGACCTCTCTGTAGTTTCCACTTCCTAAAGGTTCGGCGACCACCCAGAGCACAGGCGCATCAGTGGAAGAAGGAAGCACCGAAAGAGCGTGAGGGAGGCAACATGTGCTGTGACTGGGAATGAGGAAATGAGGTCTGAGCCGACTCCTGAAGAAGGGATGTAAGAGCAAAGATCCGAATGGTGGGTAGCACAGACCTGAAGGACCTAAGAGCACACCCACTTTTATTCTGTTGGGTTTTTTTTTTTTTTAATAACACTCTCTTGTATTTTTTGTAAGGTTTATTTATTATTTATTCAGTACTTTCCCTGCATATAAGTCTGCACGCCAAAAGAGGGCACCAGATCTCACTATAGATGGTTGTGAGCCACCACGTGGTTGCTGGGAATTGAACTCGGGACCTCTGGAAGAGCAACCAGGGCTCTTAACCTCTGAGCCATCTCTCCAGCTGAACACTCACTCTTAATTGTGTCATAGATTTGGAACTCAGACAAATGTGCAGACAAAGGAGGAGAGGCAAAGACAAGCAATGGATGCCTTTGGATGCCAGGCATGGTGGCCCACACCTGTATAATCCCGGACTGGGAAGGTAAGAAGATCCCAAGTTTAAACCCAGCTTGACCTTCATAACAAAACCTTGATCCAGGAGCAGCAATATTTTTCAAGGAAGAGAAAGGTTTGGGGAAGAGAGACACCACCCCTCCTGGCCACCTCCACTGCCCAGCACCATTATCTGAAAGTCACTGCAACACAACATGTCTCTGCAACAGACTTCCTTTCCTCTTCATGCTTGCTCTCATTTATGCACCCACCCACCCACTCGTTCTAGAGCAGCTACCCAGGGCCGACAAAAGCTCAGTTCAGACAAAAGCCCAGAGAGTGTGATTTGACGGAAATTTCCATTCTTGACATTTGCACACTGTTATTTTGACCCTCTGGGGGACAAGGGAAAGAGGACCAAAAGTGCCTATGCTAATATACAACCCACAGAAATCTCAGGACTCAAAGCCTCCCACCGCATTCACTGCCCACGGCGATTAAAGAAATCGAAGAAGGGGTGTGGCAGGGTGCTCCTAGAAGGAAGAGTGCCACAGAGCCCTCCTCCACCCGGAGTGACTCTCCCCTGTAGGGAAGCCTGAAGGCGCGTACCACCACGTGAGCCAACCTTGGTTGTCAACCTGACTACATCTGCAGTTAACTAAAACCCAAAGGCTGGGCACACCTGTGAGGCTTTTTTTTTTTTTTTCTCAATTCAAAGTTGGGAAGACCCACTTTTAATCCAGATGGTGGAGATGGGAGGAGCCACCTTTCATCTGGGCCACGCCTCCTGCCCAGCTGCTATGAGAGGACAGGGAAGAAGGAAGCCTGCTTTCTTCACCTGCTTGCTCTCCATGGCGAGTCCATTTCCTTCACTGACATTGCAGCCCACTACTTCAGGATTCTGTCGTATACAGAAGGCTGGCTGAGACATACAGCCTCGTGGACCGAACAACTACTGGATTCTAAGAGTCTCTCTTGGTAAGACAGCCATCGTTGGAATAGCTGGACCACAGCCTGTAAGCTATTCTAACAGATCCCCTTTATGTATGTGTAGCCTATAATATATATGTACAGTTCTGTTCCTCTACAGAACCCTGACTTAAAAAAAAAAAGTACCAGGATGATTAGTATTAACTGTCAGCTTGACAGAAGTTAGAGTCACCTGGGTAATGGGTCTCTGGGCATGTCTGTGGGGAATCACCTTGATTGCATTTATTGAGGTGTCAAGACCCCTGACCATTGTGGGTAGCACCATTCCCTAGTCAGGGGATCTGGGCTGTATAGGAGCTGAGAAACTCCTATACAGCCAGCTCAGTTGGTAAGCATGCTCACCTCTAACCCTAATGACCAGAAGAGAACTGGGAGCCACACGTTGGAAGGAGAGAACTGACCCCTGCAAGTTGTCTTCTGACCTCCATAGGCATCCTGTGATATGTGTATATGTGCGCACAAATAAATACACTTAGGATGTCAATCAATAACAAGCTGTAATAGTTTTTACACATGTCATGAAACTGAACTGAATAATGGCAAGCATTCACTCATCACCCTGTTTCCTGACTGTGGCTGTGATGTGACCAACTGCTTTCAGGTTCCAGCTGCTTGACTCCCTGCCGTGGTGGACTTGTTCCTTGGACTGTGAGCCAAAATAAACCCTTTCTTCCTCAAGTCGTTTTTGTCAGGGTATTTTATCATAGCAACAGGAAAGGAGACTAAGACAGCGTGGACTTCAACCCATTTGCTCACCGTGTCCGTCTCTTTACAGCAGCTGGGGAAATTCAGTGAAGAGAAGGGTCCCGACCTGAAGAGACACCTTCCTAAAGCTGTCATGGCCATGGGGTGGGTGGTACCCACCTTCACAATCTGGACCCTCTAACTGTCCTACTTTCATTTTATCCTCTCCGTCCCTGGCCCTCTAGGACCTCTCCATTTGTCTGCAGCTGTCGCTCAGCAAGATTCAGAGGTCACATCCGCCTCCGGGCAGAGCCTTGGAAGACTTCTCGAAGGTTTCGTGCACCAAGAATTCGCACCAGCCGCACAAGGGAGAGCATCTACGGGCTAGTATTAACCCCTCCAACAGCTGGGGCTGTGCACAGCTTATTTTTATTCTGCACCTTCGAATCTTAAAGAACTTCCTGGAATAATTATGGATTACACCACAGTAGAAAGGAAACTTTTTTTTTTTTTTTAAGTTTTCCAAGACAAGGTTTCTCTGTGTAGCCCTGGCTGTCCTGAAACTCACTCTGTAGACCAGGTTGACCTCAAACTCACAGAAACCTGCCTGCCTTTGCCTCCTAGAGCTGGAAATAAGGCGTATATAATCACTGCTCAGGCTTTTTTTTTTTTTTTTTTTGAGAAAACATTCTTAAGGATTGCTTAAAAAACAAACAAAAAAACAACAAAAAACAAAACAAAACAAAAACCTCTGGAGCTGAGAATAGGACTCAATGTGCCTCGTGTGTTCAATCCCAAAGCAGAAAAATAATCCTCTGACACTTTTGCAACCCAGTGAAAGCAAGCCAGTTTCTCTGCCTCCCTCCGTCCAGTCCACACACTGTAATGATGCCTGTTTCTCCTCCTTTCTTCCACTTAGTGCCCGTGTCAGCCCAGGCTTCAGGGCCATGAACCTATCCCACCCCCTCTGGCCATCAGCCTCACTTCAAAGAAAGCAGGAAGCCAGAGCCTTCGTGTCACCTAAAGCAAACAGTCTAGAAAGGAAGCTGGTGTTGAAAAGGAGAGGTTGTCACTTTTGAAATCAATCTGGTTCTTTCTCAGACAAATAGGAATAGTGCTACCTCAAGACCCAGCTATACCACTCCTAGGCATATATCCAAAATATGCTCAAGTACACAACAAGGACATTTGCTCAACCATGTTTGTAGTAGCTTTATCTGTAATAGCCAGAAGCTGGAAACAACCCAGATGTCCCTCAGTTGAAGAATGGATACAGAATATGTGGTATATTTACACAATGGGATACTACTCAGAAATTAAAAACAAGGAAATCATGAAATTTGCAGGCAAATGGTGGGATCTAGAAAAGATCATCCTGAGGGAGGTATTCCAGGAGCAGAAAGACACACATGCTATATATTCATTTATAAGTAGATATTAGATATATAATATAGGATAATCATACTAAAATCTGTACACCTAATGAAGCTAAGCAAGAAGGAGGACCCTGGGTAAGATGCTCAATCTTCACTCAGAAAGGCAAATGAGACAGACATGGGAAGAGGGAGAAAACAGGGAACAGGACAGGAGCCTATCACAGAGGGCCTCTAAAAGACTCCACCCAGCAGGGTATCAAAACATATGCTGAGACTCATAGCCAAACTTTGGGCAGAGTTCAGGGAATCCTGTGAAAGGAGGGGGAGATAGAAAGACCTGGAGGGAACAGGAACTCCACAAGGGGAGCAACAGAACCAAAAAATCTGGGCCTAGGGGTCTTTTTGAAACTGATACTCCAAACAAGGACCATGCATGGAGATCACTTAGAACTCCTGCACAGAAGTAGCCCATGGCAGCTCAGTGTCCAAGAGGGTTCCCCAATAATAGGACCAGGGACTATCTCTGACATGAATTCATGGGCTGGCTCTTGGATCACCTCCAAGGAGGGAGCAGCCTTACCAGTCCACAGAGGAAGACAAAGAAGCCGGCCCTGATAATATCTGGTAGACTATGGTCAGATGGAAGGGGAGGAAGACCTCCCCTATCATTGGACTAGGGGAGGGGCATAGGAGAAGAAGAGGGAGGGTGGGATTGGGAAGGAGTGGGGGAGGGGGCTACAGCTGGGATACAAAGTGAATAAGCTGTAATTAATAAAATTAAAAAAAGAAAGAAAAGGAGAGGTTGTGTAGCTTGTACAAGATTGCTAGGCCCTGTCGAAGGGAAAGCATATTCACATCAGTCCACATCCCACAGATGTAGACCCAAGGGATTTCACAAACCCTTCATAACCTGGCATTTCCAACCCACAGTTCCCATGAGGTAGTCTGCTTCATTCTCCACTTCCCGCCAGGATGATGGAGGGTTGGTGGGCACAGGGAACACGGAATTCCAGTGAAGCCTCCAGGTTTCACTCTTAGCTGCTTGACCCATGACCCTGAGGTGTGATATGGCAGGAGCAGAGCAGACAGTTTGGAGCAAGCGAGGCCTCAGGACACAGCCAGGCAGAGTACTCTGCTGCTGGGAGTCTGGCTATTTCTGTCTTGCCCTAGTTAGGGGCTCCCCTCCCAGCGCTGTTTCATAACCACAGGTCGTTTGACATTTTGCGATGTGACATCCATGGAAAACAGCTGAAAATAACCTTGGGGTTTTTTTTCCTATGCTTTTGAAGCCTTCAGGATGCAGCAGGGTGAGGCATTAAGAGCCTGTCGCTGTAGAGACGTCGCCACTGCATGCATTTCTACACCTGCTGCTTCGAGCACTGAATAGGTTGGAAGACCGTCTCAACGTTTTCCATAAGGACGAGATCGTAGCGACACAAGTGAGGCCTGGGGAAACCAAAGACCCTCGTCAGTGAACTGTCACAGCCACCCCCCAATCTACTGAGGTAGGCCACGTCACTGCCTCACATATGGACTTGCACAGCAGTTGTTTCTAATGCAGCAGGCAAATGGCTAGGGAAGGCATCATTCGCAAGAAAGTGGGGGTGAACTCTCACCCAACTCTACTCCACTCTTTTGTTAAAGCTGTATTTATGTGTATGAGTGGGGTGTGTGTGTGTGTGTGTGTGTGTGTGTGTGTGTGTGTGTGCGTGTTCCACGTGCATGCCTGGTCCCTGTGGAGGTCAGGCTCCTCTATACCTGGAGTTTACAGAGGGTTGTAAGGCACCATGTCTGTGCTCCACTCCACTCCCAGGCCTGCTTCTATATACTTTGCAAGTCCTGGGACTATAAATCACACCCTGGTTCTTGTTTGTTTGTTTGTTTGTTTTTGAAATGGGGTCTGGATAAGTTTCCCAGGATTGTCTTGAACTTGTGTAGCCTCTTCAGTTGTTAAACTTTTAAAGCGTCCCCCTCAGCCTCCAGACTAGCTGGGAATACAGGCCTGTACTACCAGACCCAGCAAAACAAACAAACAAACAAAAATAACCAATTAATTAAAAGTTCTTGGTTTTGTGGTTGTCGATGTTTTGGTTTGTTTGTTTGTTTGTTTGTTTGTTTGTTTTGAGACATTGGTTTTTCTTTGCATACCATTGGCTGTCCTGGATTCCCTTTGTAGAACAGGGTGGCCTCTAACTCACAGAAATGTACCTGCCTCTGCCTCCCTGAGTGCTGGGATTAAAGGCATGTACCACCACGGTTGGCTAAAAGTCCCTGTTTTAAAATAGAGTAATACCTTCTTAAAGAATCTTGTACTATTAAATATGTTTCCAGTAGCCTAAATTTTTAAGTAAAAGAAATTTATCATTTTGGAGACTGACACAGGAGAATCTCCACATATTTGAGGACAGCCTGGGCTACATTGTAAGACCCTGTTGAAAGAAAGAAAGAAAGAAAGAAAGAAAGAAAGAAAGAAAGAAAGAA